CACCTTCAGAGCTGGTGCAGAGAAATCAGGCCAGGTCACAGTTACCAAATTCTTTGAAGCTGGGCATTTTTTTCTTGCCAATCAGGGCCTCCCATGTGGTGCCCCATGTCTCTGTGCCCCGAATCAGAGTCTGACTGTTCCAGCTACTTTCCCCTAATTGGGGAGGGCCACCTCCAGTGCTGCCTCTGTGAATTTAGGGGGACCGGAAATGTGGGTGGGGACGGACACCAGGGCTTTTACACAGAACCCACCACTCAGAGCTGACTGATACTCACCTTCTGCCCCAGGAGGCCGAGAAGCCCAGGGGGACCGGCAGCCCCCTTCTCACCCTGCAGAGGAAATGCAGACGGCATGGGGTTAGGAGATGCGGCCCCAGGCTGTCGGTGAAGGCACCAGCCCTCCAGCGTTGGGCTTTGCCTTTCGTCTCTCCTGCCTCCCTGACCTACGTGGGCTGTTCTCTGAAGGACTCTACTTCCTGTTGGACCCCACTGGGGACCTGAGTCCTTCCTTGGGACACTTCATACAGGCATCACTGTCCTCCTGGTCCCATGTGGGCCAAAGCCTCGGCACTCATGCAGGGAGAGGAGACAAGAGCATTTAGTCCCTTTTGGGGGTTTCCTGGGGAGAGGTGAACAGTTCTGAATGCCAGTATTTGGAAAAGGCCATTTTTTTTTCTTCTTAAACTGCTCAGCTCTTTTTCATGTTTGTAATGTCTACCAATCAGAGGCCCCTGGTCTCCAGGGAAAGCTTTCTGCCCACCTCTTCCCTGAGTCTAGAAGGGCAAAAACCACAGAACCAGAACTCCTTTGGAGGAATATTTTGAAAAGTTTGCCTCCTATTGTAGGTTGAACTGCGTCCCACAAAAATTCATATGTTGAAGTCCTGACGTCATTGGACATGTAATTAGCTAAGTTATGAGGTCATCCTGGAGTAGGATGGGCCCCTAATCCAATATAATTGATGTCCTTACAAACAGGGGAAATTTGGACACAGACATGCATATGGGAAGAAAATCATATAAGATGAAGGCAGAGATTGGGGTGATGCTTCCACAAGTCAAGGAACACCAAGGATGCCAGCAAACTACCAGAAACTGGGAGAGAGGCACAGAACAGATTATCCCCTACAGCTCGCAGAAGGAACTGACCCTGCCTGCACCTTGATCTAGACTTCTGGCCTCAGAACTGTGGGACAATACATTTCTGTGGTTGAAGCCACACAGCTTGTGGTCCTTTGTTAGGGCAGCCCTGGCGCACGAACGCTCCTCCTGCACCAGCTGCTTCTACCACAGAAGAACACCTTTCTCCCCCAGGGCATGACTCCCAGAGCCCCACTCTCACTGAGCCAATGAAGGGGCTCCATGACTGCAGAAGACCTCTCACTGTGTCAGTAGCAGAGCCAGGTCCAGCACCCAGGTCTCCTGATGCTCTGTCATCTAGCCACAAAGACTTCACTTTGATTCACAGAGTGTCCCGTAGCAGGAGGCCCCCCAACACCACCCCGCTAGGTTAGCAGAAGTTCCACTCTCCACAGCCTGATGGCTGGTGCTTCTCGTATGTAATGGTATAAATTGAGGGCCCTGGGATTGTAATTTGCTCAGCTGTTTCAATGAACTTTTCAGCTGGAGCCACAAAAGATGCCACACCAAATCTTTGGGTGTCATCCCCTTGCCACCTGCCCAGTGGGTAGATGAATGAAGAAATGCAGCTGTTCAAGGAATGGGAGGAGGGCTAGATAAGGCTCAGTTGATGAGAGGATGGGAGTCCTGAGGCCCCAGCTGGCCCTGCTTTGCCTGTGCTCTGCTGTCTTCAGCTGGGGCCTCCCCTGAAACAGGCCGGGTGTGGGTGGAGGATGCGGTGCTGCTCCACAGAGGTCCTGGGGGATGGGGGCGAGGGGGAGGGAGGGCCTTCCTTCCTTCCTTATGCTGGGCTTTCCTCCTGGGTACCCAACAGCTTTCAAGGAGAAAGGATGTGCTCTCGAGTGTGAATTTCTGAAGCTTTGCCCAGTCATCCTGGCACACCCCTCGTTCCGGGGACACATGCATCCACAGCACACTGTAAGCAGCACACCAGCCATGGGGTGGGGCAGGGAGCTGGGGACTAGCCGAGGCCAGGATGAAGGGGCACACATTCAAAGACACAGTATCCTACCCTCTGCCCCCTCTTTCCCGGCAAACCTGGGGGCCCCGGCTTCCCTGTCGCTCCTGGGTCTCCCTTAGGGGTAAGAAGAGAAAGTCACTGATAAGAGGATGAGGGGGAGGGGGGGAGGGGTACGAGGGACAGTCATCATAGACCAGAATACTTGTCCCATAAGATGCTCCTCTTAAAAAAAGAATGCCCTGGTGGGAAAGTTAGAAAATGCTGCACAAGATACTACTTTTTTAGTTTCCCAATGTATGTTCAGCATATTAAAGGCTCTGAGAAGGCCTGCAGTAAAGAAACCTGTGTAATATTTTTTAACCCTGTTATTTCTCAAACGTATTTGACCACGGAAACTGTTTCTCATGCTATGTCTCTTATTGTCCTAGATGAGAGAGACAGCCCTGCAGGTGCAGGGGACAATAGCCACTGCCCGCTGGAGCGGGTGTGAATGCAAACTAGACAGCTGTCCAGGGTGGGATCCAGGCAAGGGGGGAGACATTTTCAGAGCATTTCTGACAAGCAAGCCCCTCCCTGGCAGGCTCACCTCTGCTCAGTCAGGTCCCTAGCCCCAGGCCAGCCTCAGGGGGACCAAGAGCAAAACGACAGCAGCCCCTCCCACCTCCACCCCACGCCTGATGCTCCACGCAGCCCAGAACTTTCTTCTGCATCAGTACCTTGGCTCCTGGGGTCCCCGGCTCACCCTGTGTGGGAAAAAGAAGACTCCGGTAAAGAAATGGGAGGCGGAAAGAGAGAGCAAGTGCAGAAGCAAAGGGTGAAAGCACTCTGGGGGCAGGGGAAGCCTCAGGCTAGCCCCCGGTCTTCCTCTTTTAGGACTTGGGCCCCTCCTGGATGTTCCTTATTCTTTCCCCAGGTGAGAGGGGTGGCAGGTGTGAAGCAGCCTAGGAGGAGGGAGAGGAAGGAAGGGGCATTTGCTTTGGACACAGAGCCCTTGTCAATGGACCTGCGGGGAGATCCACACAGAGCATTTATGCTTCCCCGGTGTCCCCGCCCATCGGAATGCAGTGGCTGGATCTTGGAGTGGGAAGGAAAGTGGTCCCTTCACATTGGCAGGTGAGATTTCTAGTTGAGGCTGCTAAACCTTGGCTACTTACTTGCAAGGCTTAGTTAAACATCTGTTGTTCCAGTTATGCCTCTGGCGTAAATATTTCTTTAAGAGAATGTTTCCAAATCCTCTCTGCTCCCTCTTTGGTCCAGGGGCCACCCACTGAACCCTGAAGCCCTGACTCTGTCCTCTCTCCATCCCTCCCATCCTGCCCCTCAGGTGTCAAGTTACAAGGTCCACTAACCTTCATCCCAGCCACAGTGATTCCAGGAGCCCCCTGGCAGAGAGAAGAAAAGGCAGGGGAACCTTCTCAACCAGGGGGAAGTGCAGAAAAGGTGGTGAGATGTGAGATGTGAAGGTGTCTCCCTGCCGCCCCTGCCCCTCAGGGAAGGGGTTGCTGAGGTCGGCACAGTGAGAAGGGGCCTGAGGAAGAGGCTCTGTGCAGTGCTGCTGGCTCCCCGGGCTTCCCACACACCTGCTCAGCCCCAAGACCCTCCTGGGGGACTCAGAGGGTGCCGTGGCAGGCAGCCCGTGGTGGGCTAGGCAGGGACGCCCCGGGGTGGAGTGAGGAGAGGGCTACCTGGGATGGGAAAGGAGGAGGAGGAGACGGAGGGGAAGGGGCAGGAAGGGAGAGCCGTAGGGGGGAACAGCAGATACTAATTCCAGCAAGTGCAGTGGACGTGGGTGTGCACCTGGGACTCTCCTCACAGAGCGCTCTGGCTCTGAGCCCCGGTGCCTGGGGCGGCGGGGGTGGGGTTGGGAGTGAACCCCATTTCCTCAGCAGCCCAAGACTACCAGCTTTGAAGTAAATAGGCTGCCAAGTGCACCACTTAGTAAATCCCAAGTGAAAGTGATATTTAGCAGCTCCTGACTCCCACATGGGTCTCAGGACTGCAGCCAGAGCTGGGGCTACCTGAGAGGCCTTTTATGACCCACAGACACGCAGGAGGAGGCCTGGCCGTGTCAGGAGGGCACTGGTGAGTGATGGCTCATGGGCCAAGAAGGAGCACCCCTGCCTGGAAGGACAGGCCGTGTAGCATGGGGAGGGGGCCGGGGCGGAAACGTGCACCCATCTTCACAGAGGGACGCGGGGAGGAGCTGTGGGAGAGAGGGCTGGGCTGCCGTGCAGGGTGGGAGGTGCCAGGGCTGTGGTGGGAGGCAATACCTTTGCGCCCTGTTTGCCCGGCATCCCTGGCATGCCCCGTTCTCCCTGAAGGAAGAAACAAGAGAAACGATGAGAAGATGACCAGACTCAGGGCCCAAGTCTTGGCTCTGGAAGCTTGGCCTGCAAGGATGTCCAGATAGTGGTAGCTCTGGAAGCCTGGGATGACCGTCCAGCCCACGATGGGCCTTGAGTACCCTGTGGTCACCAGCAGCCACTGTGGGCCCCTTCTCTCAGCTAGGTGAACCTGCACACGGCCAAGTCACAGATCACAGAGCAGCAAAGAGCCAGGGAGAGAAGCTAGCCAGTGGAGCCCGAGTCCGGGGTGGGGACTTGCTCAAGGTTTACCGCCAGACAGGGCCCTGGCCAGGGCCGTGGGCCTGAGCTGCCCCCCTGGCCACTTACCTCCTGCAGAGCCCCCCTCCCTTCCTGTCTAGTGTTTCCTGCCCTGTTTTCACTCCAGCAGGTTTGTATGAGTGGCACTGCTGGCTGAGCTGGACGGGGCTCCAGCCTATCCTCTTTGTCTGGGGTCCTCTTCCTCCCAGGTTCCTTGGGTCTAACTGTTCCTAAGGACACGCGGGCCTTGGCCTCACACGGCCAAGGGTCAGCCTGTGCTTTGGGTATTGGGGAACTGTGGATGGGGGTAGGACACAGCCTAGAGCCCCCGAGCCCACTCATTTCTCTCCACCACACCCCTAACCTCATCCATGCAGAGGCAGGCAAGTGGTTGCTTCTCTAGGATACTGTGCATGAGGTTTGCTTTACCATCTCAGCAGTGTCCTATCTTTTTCTGTAATCTCTTTTACTTCTTGATGAAAACGCCAAATCTTGGGAGGGGCTGGAGCTCAAGAAGGAAAGGGAACATACTCTTCCCTCCTTGGAAGGACACACCAGGGGGGAGATGGGGTTGGAGATGACAGCAAGTGACAAATGGGGGCCAAGAGTAGGTGAGTCAAGACTAACCTGTTGTGTCAAAGAGGGAGGGGTGCAGGGGAGGAAGAAGGCAGCTCTTGTCTCCACGAGTTGAACCCCCAAAGAAGTCCCAGCCAGAGCCCAAGATATTGGGCAGTACAGGTGGGAGTAGCCCAGGCCCTGTGGGCTGCAGACCATGGTGCAAGTCCCACGGGCAGAGGCGGAGCTTGGCCCCACCTGCCTGCATCTTTTCTGCTGTCCTCATCCCTTCCCTGCCATCTTACAGGAAGTCCTGGCCCACCCTGCTCCTGGCTGAGGCTGGAGCTCCTTCTAACCTCTCCCCTCCATGATCAGGGCTCCACACTGGCATCCAGGTAAGCTTCCCAGTACAAAGACTGGACAATATCACTCCCCTACTTGGCTGAGCCCGCCACTGCCCAGCATTGACCGTGGAAGAGGGGCCAGGCTCCTGAGCATGGCCTTCCACTCCCACTCCTTTCTGGCCTCCTCACTGACATCCCAACATCTGTTCTCCGTTTCTCTGAAAACACCACCCATTTTCACCATTGTATGCCTTTCTGCTATTTCCTCAACTCAAAACCTTATTCATCCTTGGGGACCAGGTCCAACACCATCTCTGCTATGAAGCCTTTCGCTCTGCCCCATGACCCAGTGCTGGTTCCTCAGTACAGCAGGGACCACTGTGAATTTGTAACCTGCATTCACAGATTCATGTCTGCCTGGGATGGCTTCACCTCCATCCTCTTTGAGCCAAGTCTCCGAATTCTGCAAAAGGCCCAGAAACTTTAGCTTCAAACTCAGGAGCTCTCCCTCACCCCGGCCCACCAGGACCCCTGAGCCACAGGCAGGGGTGTTGAAGCTGGACTCAGAAGTGACCGCAGCAGACAAGCTGGTGCCCCAGGTCTGCCCCAGGCCCTAAATTCTGGAAAATGTCTCTGGTGGGACAGAGCAAAGAAAGGGACAGCCATTTACCGTACCTGTTACGTGTCTGGTACTGAGTTAAGCCTTTATATCCTTCCTTTATTCAATCTCTAAAAAGAATCCCCTACGATCAGTGTGGGAGCGGATGTTATTCCTGTTTCACAGGTGAGCGAACTGTGGCTCAGAAAGGCTAGGTATGATTGCCAAGGTCATGCAGAGCAGGGATTCAGACACAGGTTTTTTGTCTGCCAAAACCCAGGTACCCTTCTCTCGGCCAGCCTCAAGCTACAGAAAGGCTGGTGTTCCATCGCTTCCATTACCCACTCTCTGCAGGCCGAAAGCAGGGCAAAGCTCTCTCTTCTGGAGGGGCCTCAGGTCTGTTCTCCATAGGGGTGAAGGTTCAGTGCTCAGCCTTGGGCTGTCTAATCACAGGCACCAGAAAGGGGCTGAGCCAGGCCCTGCCTGCAAGCACAGTTCCGCTTTACGGCCGGCAGAGGGCGCCAGAGGACCTTGTCAGAAGTCGCGACTGTAGCTCTAAGGTTCTCAAAGATCCCTCCTCAGGAGCGTCCTCTGAGGTCCCCGTTACTCTTTCCTTTGGAGGACCAGGTCTCATGCTAACGTTCCAAACAATTCCAAACATTCCCAGGATTGACTCAGCCCCAGGGACATCAGACAGAGTCCCCTGAGGGGTGGGTACAGGTGGGAGGTCAGCTTGGGCATCCCTGACTGTTCAGGGATCTCCCGTTTGTCCCATTCTTCCTCTTCCCATCTTCCCCTCAGCTTTCCCCCAACGCACCCACCCTCACCTTGCCACCTCCACTGAGGAAGATGGCCTGGGAGTCAGGAAAGGCTGTCTGTGTGACCCTGGATAAGTCACTTTCCCTCTCTGGGTCCAGGTTCCTTATCTGCAAAGTGCAATTAGACTAGACACCTCCTACCCACCCCTGCTCCTGAGAGGCCCTTAGGAAGGAGAGGCCAAAGCTGAGGAGGTGACACTGGGTGTGTTGGCAGCTCCAAAAGAGGGCTCCACCTGAGAGGGAGTGTTAGCTCTGAGTAAAACTGCAGCTCTAGGAGGGGCTCAGTGGGTCTCTGCTCTCCCTGCCTCCTGCTCCGAGGGACAGCCTTGCGATGCTTCAGCAGAGGAAGCAGCTGAGGTCTGTCCACACTCCATCTCTAGGCTTCTGTCCCTAGTCTCCACATAAGCTGTGCAGAGCAGAACCTCAGGAGTGAGGGTTTCTGGGCTAATCAGGCTTGTCCTCAGCCCGTGTTAGTTTGTATGCAAAGACACAACCACACAGTCCAAGGAAATCCGGGCCCCTTGGAGCCTCTAAGGAGGCAGCCCTCTCGTTAGGGTGGCTGACCTCCGCCACTCCCCTCCCCTCTGGGTCAAATCTCTTAATTCTGCAAGTGACCCAGACTCCCTTGATCCCCATCTGGGGGCCTCCCTCACCCCCACGTCTCGGCTAGGCAGGAAGCAGGGGTGCCCCCAGCTGACCCCACCCTGCGGGCTCACTCCACTCTCATCAGTCTCCTTCTCCAGGGCTTGTCTCCATGGGATTGCCCCAGCCTGACCTCTGCACCGGGGACTGGGCTCGTCCTGCACCAGAAGATGATGATTGTGGATGGTGGGGGAGGGGAGAGAGGGCTGAGAGTCATTATCAAGGACCCAGGGCAGTGGGCAAGGGCGCTCGTTTGCAGGGGTGCGGGGGGTGGGGGGAGGTTTCTGGCAGCCACTGGTGAAGGGAGGACAAAGACACACTTGTGTTCGCAGAGCGTTTCCTCGTGGCTTGTCTTTGCGCGAGCGCATCTAGACGCTCCTTCTTTCCCATTTCCCTTCTTAAAAGTTCTCCTATTTAGAAGGTTTAAGTTTGGAATTGTGCTGAATTTAGATCCACTAACTCACTAATGTCTTAGTTGGGGAGGAAGCTCTGAGAGTCTGCCAAAGTCTGAGGGCCCCAATTTATCCCCTCTACTTCTGCCTTCTCCTGTCCTCCCAGTGGGGAGCTGGGAGGCTCCCCTAGGGGGCTGTCAGCCACCCAACCTGGGCCATCCTACAGCTGGGGAAGTGGGCGCTCTGAGCATTACAAAGGGTCTTACCCCAGGTGCACAGAGCACAGATGGTGGCAACTGCTGTGGGACCAGGCCTGAGACCCCCAGGCCGGCCTGGCCGACCACCTGGGAGGCTGGCTCTTCAACCTTGGTCCCCAGACCTGATGACGCTGGATTGCTGGCCTGGAAGAGGCAGATTTCAGTCTTTGTGGCTAAGATAGAGCTGGGTGAGCACAGGTGGATACAGAGAGGACTGCCCCGAATGACCCTGAAGGCCATCCCAGCCCCCAGCTGGATGCCACTGACTCCAGCTGCCCCTGCACGAGTGCGTGCCAGCTGCAATAGGTTCTCTATCCTGGTCCCGCTTCCGGGTGGGGGGACCATCTTTTACCCAGATGACAGGTTGGAGGCAAGCTCCTTGGAGCACAAACTGGTCGTGCTCCGTTCTCTTAATTGGTGATTTACTGTTTGTTGAACAAGCAGGGCAGGGACTTGGCAAGAAGATGTAGTCTGGAAGGAGGTGGGGGCTTCCAGGTCAGCTCTGGCTGAGCAAGGTTAGGCCAGAGAAGCATGGGGAGGGGAAAACCTTCCTAACGTGAGGGTCCCACTGTGGCCCAGCACTGGGGTGGGAGGGCCCTGGGCCCAGGCAGCTCCACACAGACTCTTTGTTCTCTGCAGGGGAGAAGTGTGGGGTGTGGAGGGCTGGGGGGAGGCCAGTAGGTGACTCAGGCCTTAAGTCTGGACCAGGGCCCTTTCTGGGGCTGGAAAAGCAGGGTGAGGAGGGCTAATGTCTTTCTCTCCCCTAAAGAGTTTGCAGGACTCCCTTCTGGGAGAAAGGCAGCTCTGCCCTAGCCAGCTCCTGCCTGGAGGGGGCTGGGGCCGCGGAAACGCCAGGTCCTCCGGTAATTAGGGCCGGCAGGAAGTGAGCTAGGGAATTACCGGGGTCAGGCGCCCCATCGAAGGCCAGGGCTTTGGAGGGGCGGCTGGCTTGTAATCTCGATTTGAGATCGGTTGATTTTGTAGTTAGTTCCAAAAAGAAAAGTCAGCTCTAATTAATCTGTGGACTTTGGAGTGCAGGAGAAACAGGGCCCAGAGAGCACAGGCTGGGGGGCTGGAGGCTGGCAGAGTGAGAGTCCCGTCAGCCCCCACGAGGCCTCAGATCTGGGGCCCCTCTCTCAGCTCCCTGATCTGCTTTAATTGAAATGGTCTGGATGCCCCCGCTGGGAATTCATGGCTTTGAAAGAAAGCGCTGTCCCTGCTCTACAAGGCTCCTACATCTACGGCTTCCATCTCATGGAGCCTGGGGTTGCCCAGGTCCTCAGAAGCCAGAGGGGTGCAGGGAGGTTTCTCCGCTGTGGTGGTGCAGGCCTGAGACAGCTGCCTTCTCCTGGCTTTATTGGAGGTCCCAGGACCAGGCCAGCTCCCTGGGGAAGCATTCAGGTGGACTCAGTGCCAATAGGCAAAGTACTTCCCTTCCTTGGTTCTTTGACTAAAATGCACCGAATACCCCAACTTCTCTGCCTTAGACGCTCTGTGTCCTGCTCGCAGAGTCTGGGAGGCTTGGAGGAGGGCCTGAATCCAGCCACAATCTTTTTCTCACAAGAAGGAAAACAGCCCAACTCCCTCCTTCTTTCCTTCCAGTGGAGCCGAAGGAGGAGCAGGCAGGAAACTACTGGAAATCACGAGCCCCTCCAGGCTCCTAAGACCAGGTAGTAAAGCCATTCTGTACAAGGCTTTCGGGCCAGACGGACCTGGCTCCACTGCTTTGTAGCGGTGGCCCTTAGGGGATTCACCTCTGTGAAACTTGGTTTGCTCATTTGTAACCTGGGAATAAGAATAAAACCTACCTCCTAGGGTGGTTATAAGGATCCAGTGAGATGATTCCAGCGAAGTGCCCCTACACAGCCTGGCATGAAAAGGTGCAGTAAGGCAGATATACTAATACTAGTTACCATTCTACAGAAGTATGTCCACCAACAGGACGCCTTGCTCTACCTGGCAGGTCAGAATGATCCTGCCCTTTTGTAGGATGGAGGAGGGGTGAGGAGATGGGCTGGCACGGCCAGAGAATGAGGGCAGAGATGGGCCGGGTGGGCGAGCTTCCGTTCCTCACACCCTCACTCTAGTGCTCCCGCTATCTGACCATGGGGCCCGTTGGATCTCCTCCCCTGGGAGTCCTTGTTTCTGGGAGCCCTGCAGCCTCCAGAGGAGCACCTGCAGTTCCAAGCTGGTCTATCACATCCTTCCTCCTCCGTTCTGAAAATGCACAGCCCGCAGCCTGCTGGAGGGAAATGTGTGCTCAGCTCCAGTCCTTCATGCAAACCCCAAGGCTTAACACCCAGACCACTATATGCATCAAACGCACACCCCACTGCCAAGACGGACAGACCAGCTCCCATGTGCTTAGAGATAAGATCTCACCAGGTTTTGTGATCCACAAAGTCTGACAATATTCGTCAATCCTCTTGAAAGAGAGCCAAGGTTGTAATGTTTTAAACACACTTTGCGTCTTACAACATATTTAAAATGGATGGGTGTCATAAATTTGGATCAAATAGGTACCACATGGGTGCACAACAATACTCACAGTGTCTAGGAAGCAGGGCTGAGCGTGAGTGGGGCTGGGGTAGCATGAGGCCTGCTGGCCACACTGGGCTGTGATCTCAAGGAGCTGGTGGAGACCCTTTACTGCTGGCCTGGCTGGCCTTTGAGAGAACGCCAGGCAGGGACTAGCTGCTGGGGTTGGGGGTGGTGGTGGCGGATGGAACTAATCATCAACAAACTTCACAGGACAAGAAATGTCTTTGCTGAGAGTTAAATTCCACCTCTTATTGAAAGAAAGGCCTCCCTGCATGTGTATCAAGTCACCAGGACAGAGCAATGGAAGCAAATGTGGAGGGTCTATCAGTTACCCTGCGGGTCCCCTCATTCCCTGAACACAAGGGGCATCCTGCGGCCTCTGTCCCAGCTCGGTGTCCCCACCCGCTGGCACTCCCTCCTCCCTGGGGTGGCAGGTGAGAGCAAACTCATCCTCCCAGCATCTGTGATCAAGCTGCCCTTCATGTTGGTCCCTCCTCCCCAGGCCTCATTCCAGGCAGAGAAAAGAGGGGAGGAGAGAGAAGAGGTCTGATGGACAGAAGAAGGGAGCTTGGGGGCTGACCCCCCACATCCCAGAGAAACCACAAGCAAGGGTGGTCTGTGCATAGTTAGCCTGAGGTGAGACCTCCTGAGCAGACATTCACCTCCGCACTGGCGCAAGAAGACTGGCTTCTGGGTTTGGACTCATGAAACCTAGCTTCCAATCCCGGCATGACTGTTCACCAGCATGACAGGTGCACCAGCTGTGCACCTTGAACAAAGTATTAACCTTTCTGAGCTTCTCATCTGTCCAGTGGGGATAATGAGCTCAAACTAGTGGGCAATGGTGAGGACCAGTGAGAGAGGGAGTGAACGGCCTTTGGCTAAACCAGGGATGGGAAGCATTGCTACCCTTGTCCTTGGGCACCAGACTCTTCATGTCAGAGTTCTGACAGGAAGCAAACTTCTGCCTGGGCGTGGTGGTCCCTGGGGCCAACATGCCCACTACACCCAGTGGGGCTGGGGCAGGCACTTGTAGCCTCCTGAGTGTCACTCAGCCTTGAGGAATGACTCCTAAGTCCTTGGGGGCAGACTCTTTGCTGCTGCCATCAGCCCCCAGTGCATGCCCTCTGGCCTCTGTTGGACTAGGAGGCTGTGGCTTCGGTGGTAACAGGACAAGGGTCCTAGCAGAGGGAGAGCTGGCACAGAGATGAGGCGCTGAGACTACCTGGTGGCTCCAGAGGCACCTAATGAAAAGTCCCAAGGACAGGCTTAGAGAAGAGGAGGCAGCAGGAGCCTTCCAGAAACCCAGAGAGGCAGTGGGCTAGCAGCCTCACAGCCCCTCCAGATTCCACAAGAAGAGGCCGATGTGGAGGGTGGTGGGAGTCAGGGGGGCTGGCAGAGAAAGAAAGGGTGGGAGCATGACCTGAGCATGAAGAAGAAGGGCCTCTTGATTCCTCAAGGCACCTAAGAACAATGATGCTTCTGATGAGTCCTGGATGTGGATAAAGAAAGGCCTGGCAAAGACACAGGGGACTGACTCATAAAGCCGGGGTAGGGGCTGCTCCTCTCTAGGGGATATGGAGCCAACTCTGTCCTTGGGAAGCTGCAGCTTCCCTGAACTGGATTTTAATCCAGTCTCCCATCTGGTACACAAGCTTCTCTTAGCACATCCCAGACCCGTGATTATCCAGCCTCTCCTTGAATAACTCTGGTGACGGGGAGCTCCCTCCTTCTCAAGGGACCCATCAGCACTTGCTCTACCTATAGTCATGCGAAAGAAGTACGTTCTCCTTTCCATGCTCAAGCCTTCTCTAGCAGCCCTGAGCCTTCTCTCCTCAGAGCAGGCTTCCCAGGGGTCAGGAGCTTCCCTATCAGCAGGACCACACTGGTTTTCTCTACAAAGTCAATGCAGGCAGGGATGAATGATTCCTCCCACAATCTGAGCCCAGAATTGCCACACTCATGGAACCAGGCCTTCTGTCATCATGACACCCAGCCTTAAGCTGATGCCTCTCCATCCTCAGAGCAACAGACCCCCAACCTCCTGTCTGGATGAATCAGACTTGCAGTTGGCAGGAGCAGAAGTCAGCCATGGTATGGATGCCAGTCACAGGCATCCTCATGACCCCAGGGAAAGTTCTGCATTCCCTCTCCTTGTCGTTTCTTCATGGCTTGAAAGAGCTGGTCTGGCTGCTAATGGGAAAGCCGACCCCATGTTGCACCAGGAGGCAGTAAATTTTGTGAGCCTGCGTGAGTGGATGGAGGCAAACGTGGGGGCCGTAATTCCCACTTCCTGACACAGTACAAACTTCACAGTTTATGCAGAACTAATGAAAGATCTCTCAGGTCTTGCCATTTCACCCCCCAAGCACCCATAAAACACTGCGGTGACGGCAGCGGCCCGATCACAGAGCGTGCGGAGTGTGCTTCTTTAGAGGGAGTCTTCCCTTTCCAGAACCCTTCCTCCTCCTCGCCCTGCCTTTCCTTCCCGTCTCTTTGCTTCCCCTGGAAGGTGCCAGAGCTTCCCAGCCAGGGCCTAGAGGGTGGGATGGGCTCCTCGCGGCAGGTGCACCATGGGAAGGACCCAGACTTGGACTTGAATTCCTGCTCTGTCACTTATGAGTCATGTAACTTCAGGTGTGCCTCAGTTTCCTCATTTATTAAATAGGAGATGAATAGTACCAGCCTCCTAAGGTGGTCTTAGGATTAGATATAATGCAGGTCATGTTGAAGCACAGCCTGGTACATAGTAGGCATTCAGTAAGTGGCGCCTATTATTAAAGTTATTTTTTATGTTATATAGTTATTGTAATGACTACCTCTGGGCCTTTGCTCAAACTATTTCCTTGTCTAATATGCCATTTCCCTTGAAATTTGCTTGTTGAAGGACCACAGTGGTGGATTTAAAATGGCCACAAAGGCTTCGCTGATCCTCTCACAAGAAGTGGAGGCTCTGACTTGCATGCTTTGGCTGCGTGACTTGCTTTGACCAATAGGACATCAGCAAGCGTGATGCAAGGCATGCTATTGAAAAGCAGTTGTGCACTGGGACTTGCCCATTTTGAACGCAGCCCTGAGCTTGCCATGCTGCGAGGAAACCTGTCTGCTCTACTGGGGGTTGACAGGCCACATGGAGGAGAACAGAGGTACCCAGCCCACAGCCAGTGCCAACCCCAGGCACATGGAGGAGGCCACCTTGTCCCCCCCAGCCTTTCCATTCATCATCTCACATGACTGCCTGAGTGAGCCCAGAGGAGGCAGCGGAACTCCATGATGGCCAATCCACAGAACCATGAGAAATAATCAATCATTTGAAGCGAGTAAGTTTGACAGGACTTGTTACACAGCAGTAGATAATCAATACACTTACCCAGTCACCAGGATTGAGCTCAGAGGCTGTCCTCTCCCAGCAAACTTCCCAAACTCCTCCCAACCTAGCATTAATCTCTCTGCACCCACCCCCCATATTCACATAGCACTTTGGGGTGGTAACGGTTAGCACGGTCTGCCTTCACCAGGGTTATTTTTGCAGGAAGTCCTTCAGTCTCTCTGGCCTGTGAGCTGCCAGAGAGCAGGGCTGGGGCCACTCCATATCCCCCACCACACTCAGTGTGGAGCTCTACCTGGCTCCCACTTACCAAGCCCTCAGGGGCCAGTGAGAACCTGGCCTGCCTCTGTGCAGACACAGCCACCCAGGCTGGCAGGGGACACTCTCCTGGGTCTCAGGTTTAGCCAGGCCACTGGCTTGGCTGAGGCCCGGCCCCCTCAGAGCCTCCTCCTCCCTCAAATGGAGGCATGAACCCCTGTTCAGCCAACTTCAAAAGGTTTTCAGGCTCCTGCTGGGTGTGTGTGCAAAAGTGTGTGTGCATGACCAAGTCCAGACCCTGTGTGCTCTGTGGTGAAGCCCCTCTTGGTTGTCACTGAAGGGTGGGATCCTCCCGTCCCCTCATTCTTACCTTTCGGCCGTGGTAGCCCTGGATCCCTGGGTCTCCCTGGGGGAACCAAGAGAAGACCATTTGAGAGGTTTTCCCAGTGCCAGACTTCAGCTCTCCCCACCCACCTCACAGTAACCATTCCTCTTCCTCCCTCTGACTCCAAATCCTCTGACACCCACCTCCAGCTATCCCTGGGACAACAACAGGGACCATCGGCCCCTTCAGAATGAGTCCCCGCCTCGCAGAGGCAGAGGGAGACGGAGGGTGGACTTGGCAGGGGCCCAGGACACCCGAGTGTCAGTTTTGGTTCCACCACTGACACTCCGTTGCACCTGCTGGGTAAGTCACTTTTCTCCAAGGCTCTAGCTTCTGTATTTGTAAAATGGTTGGGTGAGATCAGTGATTCACAACTTCTCATCCCCACAGCTGCAGGGACCCCAGCTTCAAAGGGAGAGGCTGTTTTAAACTGTGGGCTTCCAGATAAGGTTTTGAAAGAGACCAGATGACCCCAAAGGTTCTTCCCAGTTCTGGCCCCTTATGAAACACTGTTTTATTGGGATGCTGTGACAGCACCCTGGGCATCTTGAGTTTCCAACTAGACCGTACGTCAGCTCTTTGGAGGGTGGGGCTGTATCTCCCAACCAACCATAGCACTTGCTAGGCCTGAGCCCACAAAAGTGCAGTCTCTGTGGGACCCAATCAATTTCCGAGTGGCGTTTTCTACATGAGCCACTCATGATCCATCTCTCAGCTGAGAGCCCTCCAGTTCCTTACTCAGTACCCCTGAGTGCTGCATCCCCTGCCCTCCTATAGGCAACCCTCCTACCCATTTGATGCATCACCCAGAAGGACCCTCACCTTCAGTCCAGGAGGCCCAGGTAAGCCCTGTGGAAGCAAGAAAAAAATGTGTGTGGAGATGGATTCCACTGGCAAATGGTGAGGGCTAGTCATGTTTACAGTGGAAGCTGGGGGCAGAGTACTGCTTGAATAGCTGGGATGGTTCTGGCTGTGCTGGAGGACAGATCTAGAGGGTGCTGGAAGGGTGTCTGAAGCCTGGTGAGGGCACGTGGGGACAACAGGCTCATGTCCCTCTTTGGAGCCACACGGGCGCCATGGGCAACTCCGCAGTGCTCGCCCACTGGAAAATAGGTCAGTGGCATCCTGTGAAATTGATGGTGTGGTTTGGTCCAGATCCCCACCCACCTACCTCCTAACGGGAACCACTCTCTGGAAAGCTGACCTTGCCCAGCAAATCCTGGATTTTGCCTTTGGCCCTGCCAGACTGTGGGGGAGCCCTCTGTCTCCTTTCCCCATCTCCCAGGCACTGTAACCTCGGCAGTCAGCACAGGGAGGTGGTGCGGCCCTGTGGGAGCATGAAGGAGAGGCGAGGGAAGGCTGGTTCCGGCGTGGCCTCTGGCGTGGGTCTGGACGGCAAACATGGGCGGGAGGAAACCATGATGCCCAAGTCTGGTCTGTTTCAACTGGTTGAAAAACATGCTTTCTGGTTTTTTCCTTTATAAACAACCTAACAAAGAAAACCACCTGGCTTGGGTTCAGGGATGGGGAGCCCAGTGTGTCTGGGGGAGGGCCATCAGCGAATAAGTCTATTTTGAGCACTCCTTTGGTTTTCTCGGCTTGGTTTGTTTGGTTCAATTCCCTAAATTTCACTACCTTTCAGGTTTTCCGTTTTCCCATCTAGAAACCCATGGAAGTGAGACTAACTTCCCTCCTCTGGGTTCTGAGGAGAAATCATGGAAATATTTAAAATCCATGGTAGGGTCAAGTTGAGCAGGAGAGCTGTCTCCTAGCAAATTAAGTGTTTACTCTGCTATGCTGCTTTCTGGCCAAGCTGGCTGCCCTGGTCAGCCAGAGCTGTCGCCCAGCCCAAGGGTCCCTACACTGCAGCTGGGCAGCTGGGGTAGCTGAGGGCCCAGACGTGAAGCTGAGTGGCCTGGAATGTGGTTGTCCTCATTGAGGGCTGTTTGGCAGGGGCATCCCAGCAATCCGACCTCTGGGACTCCATCGCTGCAAAAGCATCAAATATGTGCACAGACATTTATGTTCCAGGATATACACATTGCAGAAGAGAATTCATAACTACCTTGTAAATAGAGCCAGCAGTCCTAAAATCCATATCATGGGAGACTACCTGACATAGGAAAGGGCATGGTTTATGCTATTAAGTGAAAAAAGTAACAGGCTACAAACTGCTCTACTATTCAGAACATCACTAACCTAGAAAACGTTCATGTGCAGATAAGTCTAAGGAGAAAAATGGAAAGGACTCTCCACAATGTTAATGACAGGGAACTCTGGAAAATAGGCAATTTAAAACTTTTTTTTGTCTATTTTCCAAATTTTTCACGATGAATGTATGATGCTTTTGTTATAAGAGAGAAAAAGTTTTATGTTTTTTTTTTAAGCCACGTGGAAAAAACATCAAACAGACTATGTCCTTAACCCCTGTCCCCTCCAGTAACTGCTGATGTTAGTCTTAGTTCTGGGTGGAGAACCCATTTTCTCCAAAGAAGTTGAGGGGTCTGCTAAGTTATTCTGCCCTGGTACTTCCTTGTACTAAACTGGGCTGAGAAAGAGTCAGGGGTTGGCCAGGGCTTGACAACAGACGACCTGGTGGACTCTGGCACCGACATACTGCCTGAGTGTGGTCTTACTTGGAGCAGGTGCCTGTTGGCCCCACTGGGCCCCTCCCAGCAGTGGTCCAATCCCCAGACTAGATGCAGGGTCCTTCTGGCCAACCAGGTGTGCAGCCCAGCTGGGAGGTGGCCCAGGAGTGTGAAACCTACATATACTGGGACAGGTGTGTTCCTTAGGATGCCCCCTTGCTACCTCCTGTAGAACTTCCCCATCTCAGGTTTTCCTAAGCCCAGGGTCAGGGGCAGCCATCAGAGTGGTCCTGGGGACTTTCTTCCCAGGCTCCTCTCTGCTGAGGCTGGGAGAGGGGAGGCCTGTTAGCGATTTCCTCTCTGGAAGGCAATGACTGGAGTGGAGCACAGGGTCCCAGGACGTGTGTTTTCAGAACCAGACTGCAACAGGTGAATGTGACAGGGATAGGCAGCTCCCGCACAGGCCAGCCACGTTCAGTGGCCCTGCCAAGGTGTTTCTGCCTGTTTGGCAGGGACCCAGGTTCCTGTTGGTTATACAAGGTTTGGAAACTTCCAGAGAATTCTTGGAACAAATCTTGAAGGAGAAGAAACAGTGGAGAGCAGGAGGGATACTTACAGGTGGCCCCATAGGCCCTGGCAGTCCTGGGTGCCCCAGAGGTCCACTCGGTCCAGGAGGGCCTGGTGGCCCTGGTGGGCCTTGAATGCCAGCCTGGCCCTGTTCACCCTGAGGTTCATGGAAACAAGTGTTAGAGCCCCAGGGCTGCAAAGCGGTTCCCGCCCCAATGCCATGCACCCAGTGAGGCCCCGCCGTGGGCTCTGGAGGGAGGCAGTGGAGGCTTGATGGTGGTGATGCTTTGGTGGTGATTACATGCAGGGACCGGTGGCAGCAAGGAGATGGCCAAGACATTACGCCCCCAGAAGAGAGGCTTCCAGAGAGGACTTGCTGCAGGAGCAGCTGGTCCCCAGGGCAAGAGCCCTGCTGCGGTGGCAGAGGCAAAGGAGTGAGTGAGATACCCCCGGCACGCCCAAAGGCCTGCTCCCAGCCTGGTCAGATGGCCAGGGTTCATGCCTGGTGGCCGGCGGCCTGGGCCTGCCTGGCCGTCCCCCTCCTTTGTGGAGAGTGCACCATCACTGTGCCCCAGTCTCCCTGCCATCAAATGAGAACAGCTGCTCCCTGCTTCCTGTCACCGCTTTTTGCTGTCTTTGATTATTTGGCCCAGAGGATCAACCGAGATCCTAGGGTCAGAGGCTACAGAATTTTGTTTGGTTCACCAGACAATTGGGCAAGAGATTTTATGTAAAAAATTTGGCTTAGTGGCTTCTGATGAAAAACTGGGAGCTCTGGCCAGCTAGGCCCACACTCCGGAGGGCAGCCACTGCCTAGGCTCCCCAGCTGCTTCCATCCCCACACTCCATATCCTTTCTGCATGCAGCCTGCTTCTGTCACTTACGTGATTGGTGCCTGATCTCAGGGGACAGATGAGTTTGCAACCCTTAGCTTGGTTGAATTTTGAAACTGTCAAGTGCTCTTTGTCTGCATGGGGATGCTATTGCTATTCC